AGATAGCTAATACCTCAGAGGGCAGGGATATCCAAAAAGGGCCTTCTCAGATTAGAGTGTGGCCAAAATGAATGTCAACAGAGAGAAATGGAAGATACGAGACTTAGGCACAGATATAGGATGGTGGACGACTGACTTGAAAACAGTAAGTGTGAAAGAGATCTAGGGGCCCTTCCACACAGCTCTATCTCCCAGAATATCAAGGCAGAAAATCCCACAATATCTGCTTTGAACTGGGTTATCTGAATCCACATTGCTATATATTCTGATAATAATAATAATAATAATAATAATAATACTTTATTTATACCCCGCCACCTTCTCCCCAAGGGGACTCGGAGCGGCTTACATGAGGCCAAGCCCAACAACACATCAATAAAAACAAGCAATAAGCAAATAAAACAATAAATTAATATAACTCAACATATAGAAAATAACACGCAGAGATTTCTAGTTCAAAACAGATAATGTTGGATTTTATGCCTTGATATTTTGGGATACAGAGCTGTGTGAAAGGGCCCTAGGATCCTCTGAAGATACAGCAACAGATGCAGGCGAAATGCCAGGAGAAAATGCTTCTAGAACACGGCCATACAGCCCAGAAACCACACAGCACCCCAGTGATTCTGGCCATGATTCCACCCTAACCCTTTGACAATACAGAATCTGAAATTTTTAGATTCCTTCCACTTTGCCCCTATATCCCAGGATCTGATCCCAGATTATCTGCTTATCCCAAATTATCTGGCAGTGGAGACTCATATAATCCAGTTTAAAACAGATAATCTGGGATCAGATTCTGGGATATAAGGTGGTGCAGAAAGGGCCTTAGTTGACCACAAGCTGAACATGTGTCAAGAGTGCAACGTGGCAGCGAAAAAGGCTAGTGGGATTCTAGAATGCATCAAAAGGAGTCTAATATCTAGATCAGGCATGGGCAAACTTCGGCCCTCCAGGTGTTTTGGACTCTCACAATTCCTAACAGCCTACCAGCAAAAGTCGGAAACAATTTTCTGATTGGATGGGAGTGTTGACTTTGGACGAGCCCTCTGTTGCCTGTATTACATTAGGAGACAACACCAAGCGGTCCCTGGTCAAAGTGGGCCCTGGTAAAAAAAATGTTGGGAACCACTTACCCGGGGACCACTTTGACCAGGGACCACTCTCCAAGATTAGTACCAAAAGGGGTGGGGCTGGTTAGCTCTGCAGAAAGGAGGGGGGATTATTAAATTAAATTAAATTAATAAAGAGGAAGGAGGTTCGCGGAACAGATTTTCATTCTCGCGGTCCACTGGTTGAAAATCACGTATATATGCATATAAGTTGTAAGACTCTCTGAGTCCTCTTTGGGGTGAGAGAGGGTGGGGTATAAATATAGTAAATAATAAATAAATAGATAAGTTCTCTTCTGCAGGCTAAACATGCCAGCTCTTTAAGCCGCTCCTCTTAGGGCTTGTTCTCCAGACCCTTGATCCTTTGAGTCGCCCTCCCATGGTCACATTCCAGCTTAGAGTCAACATTTCCCTTCAATTGCAGTGCCCAGACTTGGACACAGTGTGATTCCAGGTGTGGTCTGACCAAGGCGGAACAATGGGGGAACATGGCTTCCCTAGAGCTAGGCACTAGACTCCTTTTAGTGATAGTATGATAGTTGGGTCCAGAAACTCCAAGCGTTATCCACATTCTGCAATGGCGGTTGTGAATAATGTAAGAGGCGAGCAGCACACTGAGGGTGGGAATATACTTCGTAGTTGCATTTGGTAGAAGGATAGATAGGAGGAAAGGGTTAGGCTTAAGGCTAGGGTAAGGTTTGGGGTTAGGATTAAGGATTAGGGTTAGCGTAATGATTTTACCATTAAAGAACTCTTACATTCCTTCTATGTGTTCCATTCTGCGTTACGCAAAGAGCGCTCCTGAAGGAGCGAAGCTGAAACAGCGTAACGCTCAGAGCTTCCGGACCCAGCTTTGATTCTATTACCCTCCTATTGATGCAGGCCAAAACCCCATTGGTTTTTTGAGCTGCCGCATGACATTGTTGGCTCATGTTGAACTTGTTGTCCACGAAGACTCCAAGCTCTTTTTCACAGGTTCTGTTGTCGAGCCAGGCAGCGTCCCCTATTCTATATCTTTGTATCTAGGACTAAGGGCCCTTCAACACAGCCATATAACCCAGAATATCGAGGCAGAAAATCCCACAATATCTGTTTTAAACTGGGTTATCTGAGACCACACTGCCATATATTCCAGTTCAATGCAGAAAATGTGGGATTTTATTTAGCTGTGTGGAAGGGACCTAAGACATGCAGCAGTTGATTCCAACTGCAGGAAAAGAGACTCCACCAAAACATTAGGAAGAACTTTCTGATGGTAAGAATCATAGAGTTGGAAGAGACCTCATGGGCCATCCAGTCCAACCCCATTCTTTCAAGAAGCAGGAATATTGCATTCAAATCACCCCTGACAGATGGCCATCCAGCCTCTGTTTAAAAGCTTCCAAAGAAGGAGCCTCCACCACACTCCGGGGCAGAGAGTTCCACTGCTGAACGGCTCTCAGTCAGGAAATTCTTCCTCATGTTCAGATGGAATCTCCTTTCTTGTAGTTTGAAGCCATTGCTCCATTGCGTCCTAGTCTCCAAGGAAGCAGAAAACAAGCTTGCTCCCTCCTCCCTGTGGCTTCCTCTCACATATTTATACATGGCTATCATATCTCCTCTCATCCTTCTCTTCTTCAGGCTAAACATGCCCAGCTCCTTAAGTCGCTCCTCATAGGGCTTGTTCTCCAGACCCTTGATCATTTTAGTCGCCCTCCTCTGGACACATTCCAGCTTGTCAATATCTCTCTTGAATTGTGGTGTCCAGAATTGGACACAATATTCCAGGTGTAGTCTAACCAAAGCGGAATAGAGCATAGGTAGCATAACTTCCCTAGATCTAGACACTATGCTCCTATTAATGCAGGCCAAAATCCCATTGGTTTTTTTTGCTGCAACATCACATTGTTGGCTCATGTTTAACTTGTTGTCCACGAGGACTCCAAGATCTTTTCCACACGTACTGCTCTCAAGTCAGGCATCGTCCCCCATTCTGTATCTTTGCATTTCTTTTTTTCTGCCTAAGTGGAGTATCTTCCATTTGTAACTGTTGAACTTTATTTTGTTAGTTTTGGTCCATCTCTCTAATCTGTCAAGATCGTTTTGAATCCTGCTCCTATCCTCTGGAGTATTGGCTATCCCTCCCCATTTGGTGTTGTCTGCAAACTTGATGATCATGCCTTCTAGCCCTTCATCTAAGTCATTAATAAAGATGTTGAACAGGACCGGGCCCAGGACGGAACCCTGCGGCACCCCACTTGTCACTTCTTTCCAAGATGAAGCATTAGTGAGCACCCTCTGGGTTTGTCCATTTAACCAATTACAGATCCACCTCACCGTAGTTTTGCCTAGCCCACACTGAACTAGTTTGTTCGCCAGAAGGTTGTGGGGGACCTTGTCGAAGGCCTTACTGATAATATAATAATATAATAACGGGGACTCGGAGCGGCTTACATGGGGCAAAGCATGAACAAATAAATAAATAAATAAAATATTGGGTTGTTGTAGGTTTTTCCGGGCTATATGGCCATGTTCTGGAGGCAATTTTTCTCCTGACGTTTTGCCTGCATCTATGGCAAGCATCCTCAGAGGTAGTGAGGTCTGTTGGAACTAGGAAAATGGGTTCATATATCTGTGGAATGACCAGGGTGAGACAAAGGACTTTTGTCTGCTGGGGCTAACTGTGAATGTTTCAGCTGATCACCTTGATTTGCATTCAATGGCTTGGAAGCGCCTGGGGGGAATCTTTTGTTGAGAGTGATTTTATGTGCCTGTTTGTTTCCCCTCTGTTGTTTTGCTGTTGTAATTTTAGAGTTTTTTAATATTGGTAGCCAGATTTTGTTCATTTTCATGGTTTCTTCCTTTCTTTTGAAATTGTCCACATTTATTATTTATTTATTTATTTACTTTGCTTATATACCGCTGTTCTCAGCCCAGGGGCGACTCACAGCGGTTTACAACATAGGAACAACAAAATTCAAGACATAGTATAAAAACAATTCTGGCCCCAGAGTGGCCGTTGGTGTTGGGGGAGGGGCGCTGATGTCACAGGGGACAAGATGGCAACGTCCTCCTGGCTCCCCTTCTTTATTCATATACATGCTTGTGTATTTCAATGGCTTCTCTGTGTCGTCTGACATGGTGGTTGTTGGTGTGGTCCAGCATTTCTGTGTTCTCAAATAATATGCTGTGTCCAGGCTGGTTCATCAGGTGCTCTGCTATGGCTGATTTCTCTGGTTGAAGTAGTCTGCTGTGCCTTTCATGTTCCTTGATGCGTGTCTGGGTGCTGCGTTTGGTGGTCTTGTCCACAGCTGCACAGTATACGGTAGACTCCTGCAGAGGTGAGAGGATCCCTCTTGTCCTTTGCTGAATGTAGCATTTGTTGGATTTTCTTGGTGGGTCTGTAAGTGGTTTGTATGTTGTGTTTCCTCATCAGCTTCCCTATGCGGTCAGTGGTTCCCTTGATGTATGGCAAGAACACTTTTCCTCTAAAATATTGTAGTTCAATGCAGAAAATGTGGGATTTTATTCAGCTGTGTGGAAGGGGCCTAAGACATGCAGCAGTTGATTCCAGACTCCACCTAAACATTAGGAAAGAACTTCCTGACGGTAAGAGCTGTTTGGCCTTGCAATAGGCCTCCCTGGAGTGAGCTGGGGTCTCCTTCTCTGGAGGTTTTTAAGGCAGAGGCTGGAAAGGATGGCCATCTGTCGGGAGGGCTTTGATGGTGTGCTCCTGCCTGGCAGAAGGGGGTTGGGCTGGATGGCCCTGGGGAGTCCCTTCCAACTCTAGCATTCTGTGTGGAGCACACTCAGAGACAGCCATGGCAACCGCAAAGAAGGCCTGGCTTCTCCCTCCTCCCCGCCGAGACCCACTCCTGCCCCACTCCTGCCCCTCCGGAGGCCACTCACCCGCAACCCGGCCGCCCGGGACCTCACGCGCCCAGCTCCACTGACAGCAACTCCTCTCTTCTCTCCAAACCGGAAATCCCGACGCTCAGGAGACACCTCACTTCCGCTTGGAATGTACCAAGTGCCTTCCCTTCAACGCTTGCTTTTTTTCTCCCCTCAGAAGTATTTCCCAACTTCCTTTCAAGTATTTCCTAACTTTCTGTGGGGAAAAACAGCTTCCTTTTGCCTCCCTTCTCCAAAAATTCCTCTTTCTTTACCACTTCTCTCCCCCCTCTTTGAAGCGCCTAATGGTACGGCCCAAACTGCCTCCGCTTCGTGTTGTCTCCTAACACGGGACGGGCAACACAGGGTCCCGTGGCTCACGCTGATTGGTCCAAAGTCAACACTCTCGTCCAATCAGAAAATTGTTGCCGACTTTCGCCGCCTGCGATGGAGCGGGCGTTGCTAACCGGACGGAGCGAAGAAGAGGCAGGGTTTGGAGTACGAGGCCTGATTGGCCACGTGACCCTCGCCTGGGTCATTATGACGTATTAATACAGAAAATGAGAGTTTCGTCTATGCCGACGATCGTGCCATCACCGCTCAATCAGGGAGCTTTGAGATGGTTGAACAGAAGCTCTCTGAAGCTTTAGGTGCTCTTACTGCCTGTTACAGGGGAAAACATAGAGAGTTTCATCTATGCTGACGATCGTGCCATCACTGCTCAAACAGGGAGCTTTGAAATGGTTGAACAGAAGCTCTCTGAAGCTTGAGGTGCTCTTACTGCCTGTTACAGGGGAAAACAGAGAGAGTTTCATCTATGCCGACGATCGTGCCATCACCGCTCAAACAGGGAGCTTTGAAATAGTTGAACAGAAGCTCTCTGAAGCTTTAGGTGCTCTTACTACCTATTACAGGGAAAAACATAGAGAGTTTCATCTATGCCGACGATCGTGCCATCACTGCCCAAGCAGGGAGCTTTGAAATAGTTGAACAGAAGCTCTCTGAAGCTTTAGGTGCTCTTACTACCTATTACAGGGAAAACCAGCTGATTCCTAATGTTTCACATGTACATAAATGACCAGCCACTGCCAGAAGGGACAGAGAGTTTCATCTATGCTGACGATCGTGCCATCACCGCTCAAGCAGGGAGCTTTGAGATGGTTGAACAGAAGCTTTGTTTCCTGATTTGTTTTCCAGTATTAAAAAAATATAAAATCAGGACAGTAAATAAAAAGCAACACTAATAAAATAAACATGGGGATTCCAGACAGGAAACAATCAGGACCAGCTAATCACCTCCCAACAAAAGAGTTACCCAGGCAGGCAGCAGGCAGGCTTTGAAGCTGCAAGTCTATTCAGTGCTAATGAGACTGGCCAATTGCAACATTCACACTCGCCTCCAACCTAATAATCATTTTTAAAAAATTAAAAACATGAAATTATAAATTACTTAGTAATAAATAATAATAATAATAATAATAATTAAAAACATGTAATTATAAATTAATCAGTAATAAATAATAATAAAACCTAATAAAAAAATTAAAAACATGAAATTATAAATTAATCAGTAATAAATAATAATGAAACCTAATAATAAAAACATTAAAAACATGAAATTATAATTTAATCAGTAATAAATAATAATAATAAAACATAATTAAAACATTAAAAACATGAAAATATAAATTAATCAGTAATAAATAATAATAATAAAACCTAATAATAAAAACATTAAAAACATGAAATTATAAATTACTTAGTAATAAATAATAATAATAATAATTAAAAACATGAAATTATAAATTAATCAGTAATAAATAATAATAAAACCTAATAAAAAAATTAAAAACATGAAATTATAAATTAATCAGTAATAAATAATAATAATAAAACATAATTAAAACATTAAAAACATGAAAATATAAATTAATCAGTAATAAATAATAATAATAAAACCTAATAATAAAAACATTAAAAACATGAAATTATAAATTAATCAGTAATAAATAATAATAATAAAACCTAATAATAAAAACATTAAAAACATGAAATTATAAATTACTTAGTAATAAATAATAATAATAATAATTAAAAACATGAAATTATAAATTAATCAGTAATAAATAATAATAAAACCTAATAAAAAAATTAAAAACATGAAATTATAAATTAATCAGTAATAAATAATAATGAAACCTAATAATAAAAACATTAAAAACATGAAATTATAATTTAATCAGTAATAAATAATAATAATAAAACATAATTAAAACATTAAAAACATGAAAATATAAATTAATCAGTAATAAATAATAATAATAAAACCTAATAATAAAAACATTAAAAACATGAAATTATAAATTAATCAGTAATAAATAATAATAAAACCTAATAATAAAAACATTAAAAATATGAAATTATAAAATAATCAGTAATAAATAATAATAAAACCTAGTAATAAAAACATTAAAAACATGAAATAATAAATCAGTAATATATACATTAATTTAATTATTAATTAATTAATTATTACTACATTTATTTAAGGTCTCAAGGCTGCTAACAAACGCACAACACACACACGCATATATATACATAATTAAAAATTAAAAATGAATAATTAATAATATTAATTAATTTAATTATAAATTAATTAATTATTATTACATTTATTTAAAGACTTAAGGCGGCTTACAACCACACAACCTAATAAAATATTTTAAAAAATAAATAAAAATGAAAATAAATTCTAAATTCATCATTAATAAATAATATTAATTAATGTACTGTCGAAGGCTAGAACATGGCCATATAGCCTGAAAAAACCTACAACAACCCAATATTAATTAATTTAAATATAATTTAATTATTACTACCTTTATTTAATGACTCAAGGCGGCTAACAATCACACAACCTAATAATAAAAAATGTAAATAAATACAAAAATGAAAAATAAAATTAATCATTAATATATAATATTAATTTAATTATTACTACCCTTATTTAAAGACTCAAGGTGGCTAACAACCACACATCCTAATATTTTTTTAAATGAAAATGAAAATAAATTGTAAATTAATCATTAATAAATAATGCTAATTATTTTAATTATAATTTAATTATTAATTATTACTACCCTTATTTATTCACTTAAGGCAGCTAACAACCACACAACCTAGTAAGAAAAAATGTAAAATATATACAATTAAAAATAAAATTAATCATTAATAAATATTAATTAATATTAATATTAATAAATATTAATTTAATATTACTTGATTTAATTATAATTTAATTATTAATTACTACTAACTTTATTTAATCCTTCAAGGTGGCCAACAACCACACAACCTAGTAAAAAAAATGTAAAATAAATACAACAATTAAAAATAAAATTAATCATTAATAAATATTAATTAATATTAATATTAATAAATATTAATTTAATATTACTTGATTTAATTATAATTTAATTATTAATTACTACTAACTTTATTTAATCCTTCAAGGTGGCCAACAACCACACAACCTAGTAAGAAAAAATGTAAAATAAATACAACAATTAAAAATAAAATTAATCATTAATAAATATTAATTAATATTACTATTAATAAATATTAATTTAATTATAATTTAATTATTAATTATTAACTTTATTTAATGACTCAAGACGACTAACAACCACACAATCTAGTAAGAAAAAAATGTAAAATAAGTACAAAAATGAAAAATAAAATTAATAAATAATATTAATTTAATTATAATTTAATTATAAATTATTACTTGATTTAATTATAATTTAATTATTATTACTAACTTTATTTAATGACTCAAGGCGGCTAACAACCACACAACCTAGTAAGAAAAAAATGTAAAATAAATACAAAAATGAAAAATATAATTAATGATTAATAAATAATATGAATTTAATTCTAATTTAATTATTAATTATTACTACCTTTATTTAATCACTTAAGGCGGCTAACAACCACACAATCTAGTAAGAAAAAAATGTAAAATAAGTACAAAAATGAAAAATAAAATTAATAAATAATATTAATTTAATTATAATTTAATTATAAATTATTACTTGATTTAATTATAATTTTATTATTATTACTACCTTTATTTAATAACTCAAGGCGACTAACAACCACACAATCTAGTAACAAAAATGAAAAATATAATTAATCAGTCAATTAATTAATTCAGTTATTAATTATTAATTTATTAATTAATTCAGTTACTAATTAATAAATATTAATGTGGAATTCCTAGATTCCATAGCATTGATCCAACTGGAATATGTAGGCTTTTTGATAGGAAGGAACAGACAAATTCACCTCTGCCTAAGAAAACCCTATATAGGCTTTGATTGACAGCCTTCCCAGGGGATGAAAGGGCGGGACAAGCTGTGATTGGCAGCCACACACACCCTTTCCCAGGCGCGAAGGGGCGGGGCTTGTGTGATAGAAGGCTATCCCTTTAATCCCGCCTTCTTTCTCCTCCTCGGAGACGCGATTGGTTGAGAAGGAGCCTATAAAAAGCAAGGCTGGGCAGCTGGGCGCGGTCTGCGTGCTGTTCCCTGCTGTTCCGCTAGGTGGCGCTTCCAGTTCACTGGGTTGGGTTTCCTTCTCACTCAGAATGAGAAAATGAACAGAAAAATGCCTTCAGCCTGCTTTTGCAGTTTCCAAAATTAGTATATTTTCCTAAGATTGCACTTTTTCTCTAATTTATAGTTGTGTGTGTATATATATATATAGAGAGAGAGTTAAGCTGTTTGGTAGTGGACTGTGTTGCTTTTGGAGGTTTATAAACAGAAGCTGGATGGCCATCTGTTGGGAGGGTTTTGATGGTGTCTTCCTGCCTGGCAGAAGGGAGAGGGACTGGATGGCCTTTAGTGTTCCCTTCCAGCTCTAGATTGCCTTAGGGGGGTGGTGGAGTTGCCTCCTCTGGAGAGTTTTAAGCAGAGGCTGGATGGCCATCTGTTGGGAGGGTTTTGATGGTGTCTTCCTGCCTGGCAGAAGGGAGAGAGACTGGGTGGCCTTTAGTGTTCCCTTCCAGCTCTAGATTGCCTTAGGGGGGTGGTGGAGTTGCCTCCTCTGGAGGGTTTTAAGCAGAGGCTGGATGG